ATTTGTTTTTCCCGTGCCTTGAAAATACGGACCACCTGATTTTAATTTCTGTCTGTGTACATGCATCCTGTGTACAACACTCATGCCCTTCAAATCAAAGAGAACCTACAGGCGTTGTATCTGGGTAAAGATGGTATTTAACTGTTTTGCAAAATAACTGCATATTGTGTATACTTTTTATAGGACAACAAACTATTAATTATATTATCTTTGTAGCTATTTTTGAGATTATTCCTCAATTTAAAACATCCTGAATTCAACAGCTAACATCCTAACATCAATAGCTGATCCAACCCTGAGCTTCTGGTCATCCTAATGAATACACTGATAGCAGATGTTGGAACAATGTGCAGAAATGAAGGAAACATCCCTGGAGCTGAAGGTGGAAATAGCAGGCAATGAAAGCCAAAACGAAACCCGTGGAAGAATAGGCTAAGCTTTTGCCATAAAGTCTTCAGACATGAAGTGCCATGAGAACAAAATTCAGGACTGTTGCCATCAACCTTTGGTTTCGTAACACGTGTGTACCTTAAGGCTTAAGCACCTCACTTGAGCTGTATTTCTAAATTATACTTGTTTTACTGAAAACAAAACCAGAAGGCCTAGACTCTCAAAGATACATGGGTTCCCAGCTCCTGGGAATTTCACTTTCAGGGAGCTGGGAGTTTTATCTAGTGGAGGGTGTCCCTGCCCAAGGCAGGGGGGTTGGAACTAGATGATCTTTGAGGTCCCTTCCAACTCAAACCGTTCTATGACTCTATGTCTAAATGCCTTCGAGGATCTGGGACTATTTTTCTAGCAAATGAGCTCAAAATTGAAATAATACAACAAAGAGGACGATTCCAAACTACTGGTACTAAGAAAGTTTCCGTTAACCAGTCACAGGGATGAATTTACAGAGAGAACTTTTCTCAAAAGATCATAGAATCAAGATGATTTACAGCTGAGCACCTGGAGAAAACAGTTTGCACCTGGCACAACTAAAGAGCTTTTTTCCTACTGAGAAATAAAGCAAGAAGCATGGGGAAGATTTATGCAATCTCCACACTCAGAGTCAGCATCCTGGAAGAAAAAAATCAGATAAAATATAGCAATGGCTCAAGCAGGCAGAAAGATATACAGCAGTGAAAAAAATTCAATATTAATATTAGCGAAAGGATGTGTGATACGAATAAGTAAGAGGGCTGTGCTTAATCCAGCTTGGGAACTGAGAGCTGTCAAGAAGAAACGAGGGATATATACTTGGCAACGCAAGGGATATAGAAGGCAAAACTGCCCACAGCGTCGGCAGCAGCGTGGCAGACTTGGACTGATGCTGCAGATGCTGTAAGGGCCACAGCGAAGCGAGGGGATTGTGATCGCTACTGCAACAGCAGTTTTACAAGCATGCACTGTTCAGAAGAGATGAAAGCGTGGGATTAACTCAAGGATCTGGTTTTTGCTTCAGGCCCACAGATCTGATGTTCAGTACATTTCCCCGCTTCAGAACAGGGCAGATTTCTCACAGAGCCCGCGTTACTGCTCCTTATCAACCCGCTTCGGCCAGCTACCTGCTGTGGGAAGGCAAGGGCAGAGCTGAAACCTCGCTGGCCGAGCGTGCCGGTGCACGGCTGCAAGGCTCAGAGCTGCAGGGTGCAGCCAGTGTTTCAAGATTCCCTCTGTAAATGTGGGGTGGGGGGGAAGAACATTTATAACAACTCTGCTAAAGCTGTAGGTAGGTGACTCTGCATCTCTTACTGCTCTCCATACCCACCCCCACCACGCTGCCTTTGGGACAGGGTTGCTGCAAGAACAGGCTGGCTGCCAGGGAGCTGCCAGGGAGCTGCCAGGCTTTTCTGTATTGCAGCTAGGAACGACTCCACTGCTCCGGTTGCATCACCACCGTTCTTTTGGAGTATTTCTCCTTTTGCTGGCTGTCTGCCTGCCCCAGCGTAGAGTTCAGGACGTCGGGTTTCACCTCCAAAACTCCGCTCGAGCTGTTCCCAGCACTGCTGTGAGTTACGTAGCTGGCAATGGATCGTTGCTCCGCATCGGCAAGTGCCGGTGGAGGGGCCCCAGCTCCTGCAGGAGCGTGTCGTGTGGAGCGGGAGGAAGGCTTGGGGGCAGGAGTTGTCTCCCCGCTAAAAATGTGCCTTTGCATTAACAGGGTAATTTAGAGAATTGATCCTAAACGTGGAAACTAGGTTTTCTTAGTGGATACCATGGGTGAGTGCACAGTGCCCATCACAGTGGCCTCAAGTCTAACCTATAAATGTCATAAATACTAGTACTGTTATTTATATTAAACAAGTGATGAGCTATTGTTTCACAGTGAGATGTTCAGAATATTTGGCAGCCTTGGGGCTTGGATGGCATCAGTTTTGACTTTCAAAATCAAACTGCCACCTTGTGGTATAGTGGGGGAGAAGTCTGTAGGAAATTACATGGACAGCAAGAATTTAGATATGGAGCAAAAACTGGTCCCTTTGCCCCACCAATTACTTATTTATGTATTCTTAAATATATTTTTTACTATACTTCAGGTAAATTAATAAAAAAATCTTATGTTATGCTTTAAAACAGCCTAGCTTTTTGTGATTGATTGTCAATGTAAAACATAAAACCATTTCCTCATTGTTGTATGTAACTGTAGTGAAACCATCAGTGCACTCATATGAGTAGGTTTTTCAAGATTAGACCCAAATGCAGCTTACAGGAAAACACTAACTATAAAGGCTGTAGGTATCTATAATAGTTTCCTTTCTCTCTCTTTAAAGTTCATTAAGGTTAAGAAAAATTTTTGTGAGAGTCAGAGCAGGGCCAAACAAATTGCTGAAGGTGAGCAAGTTGCAGTGTATCATCTGCTCTGAGTCCCTGTGCATCCTCTTGGACCATGACGGATGTCAGGTAATTTTAATCGTCTTTCTCTTTCACTGTGGGCCAAGCCATCACAAATTACTTCACCTTGTTTGTCAACCAAGAGCAAGCACGATGAATCGGCAGATGTGCAGTAATCTGTTACAGCAACGTGCTTGTGCATCTCAACCTTCAAGCAGCAGACCAGCATGGAGATCACTGGCACGATCCTTTCGGCTAGATCGAATGCCCTTGTGTCATCTAATACTATTTATGAAAGATCATAGATGAAAACCTAGTCCATTGCAAATCAAAAAGTGTAGCCAAGGTGAACAATTGACTGCAGCCACGTATCAGTGCTTTGTGCATACATGACTTTTAAGGAATGTAGTGGTTTAAAAGAAAAGGTGCAGGTAACAAGAAGCCCATAAGATCTGGAGTTCACATCTTGTCCCTCTGCTCATGCCAGACAAGCATTAACACTTTTTTTTTTTTAAAGCATGAAGTGGATTCATCCATTACTGCAAGTAACAAAGTAAGAGGGAGGCAGTCATGCAGGAGGGAATGTAAAGGTACGGAGAGCCTGATGCTGCCTCTCCTCTTAAGTAAGCCTAGAAAAAGACCCAGATGAGCTGCTGGGAACCTATAGCACCAGGGCAAGCCATTTTCCTTCCCACTGTGTCTACTACAAAGTGCAACGCCTCAAGGAAGTAGTATTTATAAATTATTCTTCATCCAAATGTACATAGGTAGAAGGAACTCACGAATTTCACAGTTCTCCATGAAACTGCTGTCCTGGAACACCTATGTTGAGCATTGGCCCTAGGAGAGAGCTAGTGAGCATTCCCATGGGCAGAGGTCCTGCAGATCCTCATGGAGCTGCACGAGGAGCCTGGCCCCTAGACACCCTACGAGCACAGAGGCTGCCGAGACTCCAGTATCACCTGGCTCACATTTCCCCATCAGCCCACTTGGTGGCTAAACTCCCAGGAAGGATAAACATGAAAATTTCTTCTTAATGGTTGTGATGGCATCCACTTTGCTGGGTGATTTAAATCAAGGGTGGATAGTCTTCTTCTGGCCATGGTCTCATCCAGCAGCCCAAGTGGGTGCAGGTGTGAACCGCTTTTGCGTGATGCATGGCAGCACCTCATGCTGGCCATGTGTGGGTTTGCATCATCACGGTCTGCTGTCACTACAGGGACAGGACCAGCAAAGAGAGAAGGAAAAGGGACGGAGTAGAAAGTCTTCAGTGGGTGGTGGGGTTGCGAGGGAGGAGGTCTGAATTTAGATGAAGGGTGGGCAGGGGAAGGAGAGAGCCTGTGGACCCACACACCCTTTTGTGCTTGCACCCGAGTTAATTCACAAGTAAGCCCCCTGTGTTGTGTGAGAACCCCCCACCCCATAACATGGCTGTACAGCTCTGCAGCCCCCTCATCCCACCGTTTCTCCTTCCTAGGAGCACTGCTTGCGGCCCCTGAGCAAACTAGGGATATCTTGCTGCTCAGGGTATTACACAGGAGACCAGGCTAGATGAGCACAATGATCCCTGGGAGCTCTACAGATCCTGGTATCTGTGAGACCTTCAGGACGGGGACGGGGCTTGTGGAGGCCTGCCTGATGGCTGGAGGAATGAAAGCAGGACAACATACTGAGTGTTGTCCTGGGGAAGAGTGGGCTACCTCCCACAGGAAAAGTGTCTTGGGGATTTTATCTTTTTTCTGAAATTCACTAGTTAAAAGGCATCTGCAGACACAGCATCACACCCGATTGCAGTCAATAAATCAGCAATGGCAACTATGAAAGGAAATGTGTTTCTCCTGCTGAGAAACAACACCTGGGATTAGTGTCTTTTAACATAAGTGTATGACAGGAGCAGAGGGTAACCATGTGGTTAATGAAGCCTAATGCCTATAAAGCCCATGGAGATAATCCTTATTTTGGGGTTATTGTTAGTGTGTCTGCCCTTGCTTTCATAAAAAGAGTGTGGTGATATCTAAGAGTGGCATTTCGATGCCTGAAATGCTCCTCATATAAATAGAACAAGCAGATCAGCATGACCGAGTGATAAAATTACCTTCTGGTCTTCAGGAGCTTCAGCATGCAACTGTGCTATAGGAATCGCAGTGTACCCCTCTTCACAGCACAAACAAATACATTTGGAAATGGATCTGGAGGAGACATACAAAGAAGGAGAGAATACAGAGGGGAAAATGACTCGAGCTGCAGCTGCAAAGTTGGTGAAAAAGGCTTTTCTCGAAGCCCTGAAGTCCAATGACTTTGAAACACTAGAAGAGCTCTTGAGCCAAAAGAAAATAGATGTGGACACGGTGTTTGAAGTAGAAGATGAAAACCTGATTCTGGCATCCTACAAACAAGGTAACTGTGGCAGCATTCACCAGCCTGGAAGTAGGTGGGTTTGAGTGATTTTCAAGAATCTGTGGCCTTTGTCTCTTCCGAAGCTGCAGCGTAAGCTGACTCATAGGCAGTAACCTCTCAGTAGGTTTGTAAGGCCGCGGTCACCGCAGGAGGGGAGCTTGTCAGCTGTATCTGCTGGGCTTGAGACCAGCCTGAGCCTCCGTGCTGCCCAGGCAGCTGCTGCAGCTTCAGGGGAGTCCAGAGAGAGGAGTCCTTTGCCATTTCCTCGCAGAGAACTCGGGTGCAAAGCCCAGAATAGACACGTGCAGGCTAAGTGGGATATATACATTTCTTGCATGTGCCCAGTCACATATACAATCCATTTAGAAACATAAAATATTAAATGTCTTCCATTTTCAATTTACAGTAGTAGTACAGTGAATTCTCCTGAGCTCAGGAGAGCTAAGGAAATCCTGCGGAACTTGGATGTTGCTGGATGGGAGGAGATTTATTTTTCAGACTGACAGAAAGTGAGGATGTGCTAGTTTATCAAAACAGATAAATCATCTGGAAAAACACAGCCAGAAAAGACTTCTGTTTTGGAGTGCAGAAAACCCAAACCAGTTCTCAGGCAGACACTGGTTGAGTTCCCAAAAACTTACAACCTAAAGCAATACAACAAGTTTGCTCTCTGCTAAAATCAACATACTTCATGACCTACCTGCTAACAGACTCTTCGTGTGTATCTAGAAAACAGGAATGATCAGCCCTTGCCACAAGTTAATCATATGTGGAGATAAACACCTCAGTCTCAGCAGCACAGCAAATGCCCTTTCATTTCTGCGGGATAAAGAAGGGACAATATCCCACCTCTTCTCCTTTTCTGTATTTACCTCTTAGGTAATGATTGGCTCCTGTTCTTTTGATTTCATTAGGATGAGGATGATACAGTCATGGTATACTTCCCTTGGGGACAGTGTCTGAACTAACCCACACAGCGATGAATGTGTCTTAAAATACCTTTTGTTCTGGCCTCAGCAGGCAGAGATGCATTCTGGTTGTGATTTGAGACTACAGGATTAATGCATAGATTTTTAATTGGAGATTATTTGACTGCAAGCATTAACTTGTCTCTTGGAGAAATCTCTCCTTTCCCAGAAAAGAGGTAGAGAGGTAGATGCACCCTATGGCCTAAATCACAGCAGTGTATTCACTTTGAAAGGCAGGAAGCGCTCTATCAACTCTCATGCAAATTTTACTGTTATTCTGAATCCCAGATAACTGCGATATGAGAGGGGGATTTCCTTGAGAAGGGAGAGGGGAGGAAAATTAAGCTCCATCATCCCATCGTTCAGACAGCCTGAGCTTTGCCATAGCCCTAAGTGATGAAGTGGAAAGGAGACGCCATGGGTGACAGAGTGGCTTTGCTTCTTCTCTTCCAAAGAGGCTGCGAGCTGCCAAGGACACAGACCTTGTGTGCGCCATGGCTTTTTCATGTTTCTAACCAAATAAACAAGGAAGCTGAACGAGGCCTCCCATGAAGCCCACATCTGCTTCCTGCTCAGTGCCTCGTCCTGTCCCTTTGGGCTCAGGGATGTCTGTGGGTTTGGGCAGAGGACATGGGAGATGCTCCCTCAAGGACGCCTGAGCACAGCTCACCTGCAGCAGCACAGGCAAAGGAAATAAACGGTGGTCTCAGGCAAGGAAACTGTGGCTATAGAAAGCCATACCTTGGCTTATAAGGACGACTTTCCTGCTGTTGTCCATTTATTTGGCCATAATGTGAGGCCCAGCTCTGTGTGGGAGAAGTCGGCAGCGCTCCACAACTTGCTGGTAACAAGGGGGAATACTTCAGACAGGAGGCTGATCTAAGAAATCTGCTCCGCTATACGCATAGACTCTGGGGTGTAGCCCACCTATTTTGTGCCCATTTTGGGGGCATATGATGAAAAGGTTGTCTTGCTGAAGCTGCCAACGTAACCTGGATAGTCAGCAGATTGAGAGAGGGTTGAGCTGCTGTTGCCCCGCTCAGGCACTCAGCTGCCTTCAGGCTGCCTGCTGCTGCCATTCACTGCGTGGGTTCCTCATTAAAAAATGAAGGTCTGAATTAATTTGACCTCATTATATATCTTTAGTATTTTTTTCTGAGTCTTCTACGTGATAACAGTATTCAACCATGCATTTGTCCAAGGAGAAATAGATAAATCAAAGCCAGAAAATTTTATAGTTACATTCTAGCTGAGATGCAGCTGCTGTATCTAAAAAGAAAAGAGAAAAAAAGACGGTTTAGACTTCTCTTGTCCTTCTGCACATTATTATCGTGTTTTACTTTTTTTAAACAAATGATTATAGTAATCACTTCTGAGACTGTCTCTATGCAGTCATTAAGCATATAGTCCTAGTTTTGGAACAAATATTTAAGTGTTATTTGGTCTTACACCTGTTTGTAAGTTAAAAAAAAAAAAACAAAAAAACAAAAAAAACCAAAACACATTGTGAAATTTTCAGAGAAAAATCCAAACATTTTGGACCCAAATTTCATGCTAAAGTGTCACTGCTTCTATTTGGCTCTTCAACCTAATTTACATCAGCATCCAAATTCCTCACGCCATGCTCCTCTGGGGCAGTAGTTGGCAGGAGGTCTGTGATGCAGCTGCAGCCCCATTGCCAGGGGTCATCTATGTGCAATGCATCACTGGAAGTCTGAATCCAGCTTCTTATGTGCAAGATCCTGCTATCTCCCACACAGAAACAGCAGGATGAAGTATCTGTTGAGTCACTGGCCTAAGTAAATGCTGCCTTCTTACTCCCAACACCACCTTTGTTCAGCTATTGGCAGGCTGAAGATCCCATTTTCTCCATATTTCTTAGCTGGGGGTATTTCAAATGCTCTAAGCATTTTTATTTTTTTTTATTTAGTCTACACAGGTCACAAGAAAAACAAAAGCTGCCTTCAGAGTACATCTACATGGGAATTATCTCTCAAAAAGGCAGGCTATTCAGCACACATAGTAAAAGTGCTTAATAAAAATGAAGTTATGCTTGAGAGAACTTTGTGTGCAGTAAGCTGTAGCTGGTGAAATCACAGTAAATTAAAGCAAAATTCCAACCCTTCCTTCCCCCTCAATTATTCTCAGTAGGTGGATAGTCCAAAGAAAAGTCTCTGCAAAGGATGGTAACACAATTTCACTTTGTATAGGGTACTGGCTGCCTAGCTACAAATTAAAAATATCCTGGGCAACTGGACTGCATCTTGCTGTCATGTATGGACATCTGGAGAGTCTTTCGGTCCTGCTCAATCACAAAGCTACAATCAACTGCCGGCCCAATGGAAAAGCTGCAATCCATGTAGCATGTGAAATGGCAAATGTTGAGTGTCTCAAGATCCTTTGCAACCATGGAGCTAAGCTGAACTGCTTTTCAATGAGTGGGCAGGCGCCCTTACACTTCTGTACAACACGAACCTCCATGCCTTGTGCCCAGCAGCTGGTTTCGAGAGGTAAGGTAAAGCTCTGGAGGGTCTCTCATGGCATGCCCAGAGATGGTGGTGGGCACGGTCTGTGGTTTCTCTTAGGAGGCAATTTGTCAAAGTACACGTGTAATTATCCCTTCCATCCACAGCTGACCCAAAAGATGTCTTCATCTCAGACATCTTTTCTCCATCTCTTTCATCAGAGGAAGTTTTTCCCATTCTGATTCCTCACCCATCCGTCCTTCCCTCACCCTGGTCACCGGCCCTTACTCCAGGGTCGTTTCCCATTTCAGTGCCTCCAGCCCACTTCCCAGTCAGTCCCGCAGCAAAAGGACTCCTCTGAACCAGAGAGTTTCTATTTATCTGGGGTTTTCTGTCTTCTTCATCTAGGTTTACTATTGAGAAGTTTTCAAATGAAAGTGCACCTCTCTCCTTTCTTGTTCAAATTTCCTTGCTCTCAGTAAAATTCTTCCAACCACTTGTTTTCTAAGACCTGGCCTTGAAGAACTGGACACAGTTTTTCATGCCGTCTCTTCGCTTGTCAGCAGCATCTATGCTGCTGCATCTATGTAGGGATTGGGGAAAAAATTCTACTATGTATGATTTTATTTTTTTTCCCCCAAAGTAGCATACACTATGCTGCTGGTCATCTGTAACAAATGAAGCTATGAATAGGCATAATTCCTGGATAAATATATCGGTGTTGCACACTGTTTCCTTACCACAAGGACGCTGACTCAGGACACAGTAAAAGACAGACATAAAAGGTGCAGCAAAGTCAGACAGTTCAAGTCTTAAGTTGCAAACAGGCAGATTCCCTTATTTATTACATTGTGCCATGGCAAATACAAATGCTTTGGGGGTTAATTTTGCTACATGCACTGTTATTGAAGGCTTTTTTCGAGATGCAGAGCCCAAGTGTGCTTTGTGGGCAAGGCAATCTGCAGTCCCGAATGAATAACCACATCGCTTTTCTTCTCCTGGAAAGATACATATTATTTTGTTTGGTAGAAAGGAAAATAAATGCTGCCAGTTGTATCCTGCCCAAAGCAAGCAGTCCTGACAGCAGGAGTTGAATTTGCTACCATGGAAAAGCTTAAAAGTCAAATGTAGTCTTATAAAATGCAGCATAGGATGAATGCAAATGAAAGGATGTATTCTATAGGCTTTCTCCACCCACCCATCAGCAACAGAATAATAATACTTTACAAGCCACCCTTCATCCCAAGGCACTAGATAAACTCGAATCTCTGTATGAGCTAACCATCAAGACTCCAAACAAAATGGGAAAGGTCTGGAGCAAAATGTGGCAGGTGTGCGCATTCACATAGCAACACCACCCAAGGGCTGAAGCCAGGGTTTCATTTAATGTCCCTGTACCAAGGTTTCGTAGATGCCTCTCCCACCCTGCCATCTCCACTCCGTGGTGTCACACGGGGTCAGTTCAGGTAAATGCAGTTTAACCACTTTGTGGACTGGGCAACTGGCCAAGCAAGCAAAACTGATCCAGTGTTCATTTACCACCTCCAAACTTAGATTGCTGATACTCCCGTGGACATCTAACATGACTAACACTTAAAGTGGCTTAACGGCATTAGCACACAGTTTTTCCAGCCCAGAGGTAACTTCTGACTCCTCTTCCTCCCTCCCTGTCCTCCTGTGTAAGTTTGGCCACATAAGGGCTTTTGTGAGCCTGGAGAGAAGAGGGGTGGCCTTGCTCTCCCACGAGCACATTATTGAGAGTTTGGCAAGGCCCCAGGTTCAAGCAGCCCCTGTCTACCCAGCTGGGGTAGTGGACACCAGCACCCTCCACCTCTGGAAGAAGCCCCTTGCCCCTCCACCCTGCTGCCCCCGCTGCCGTTCCGCTTTGTTCTGGGCAGTGAAGTCTCGCCAACCTTCCCTCTTCTTTAATACGCAAGCGTTCCGTATTATTCCTACGGTCATTTGCATTTCTCTAGAGCAAATTGCCGGTAGCTGGAAAGCGGGAGGGTCCCGCT